CAAGAATGTTTTTTTCTTTTTTTTCCTTTTTTATAAGATGGTGGTCATGTCAGTTTCTGAAAATAACTATGTGACATATCAAACAAATCGTGTACCAAACAGTACACACACTGAATGCACCTGCAATAACTGACATGGAATTGAATTGGCTTTTCAACTATTTACTTTTTTGGATGTTCCAGTTTGTACGTCTGAACTAGCAGAAAAAAATGTAATCTAATTTTATAAAGTTGTTTTGAGAATATTTGAGGGGAATATGTGGATTCCCTTTTCCCCATCGTTTAATCTTTTTAACATAGGAAAAAGTTTGCCAAAAGGATGCTACCTGATAATGTAGAACAAAGGATGCCTCTAAAAAATTCATGAGAAAAGGTAGTTTTAATGTTGAAAGACCCTTTCGATTGATCTCCATATCCAGATGTGTGACCATGAAAAGTAAAAAGATTTTAACTCTTAAAAATAATGTATTTTACAACATATTATCTACACCGTTTATTTTCAAAATTTTTATATGTTTATAGATCTACTTGATTTTAACCATTTTTTAAATTTAAAATTTTACAATTAGATATAAAAGTAGATTTTAAGATAATCCTAATAACATTTTGCATCAAAATTATATACCATGATAAAATTTAAAGGGTACCTTACCTCTATACCTATGGAGGTATCTGTAGGCCAACTGCACCCTTTAACATAAGTAAATAGCATTACAAGGGCCTCAAGTGAGATGTATATCAAAAAACTAGTTGACAAGACTCTTCTAAAGTAGGAATTTTCTCAAATTGATTATCTCGACCTTAACGTATGGATATAAAGAGAAAATAAATTTGAAGTCCGAAAGATAGTGCATTTTATTTGGACCGTTAATTTTCAAGATTTTTAAGTATTTATAGATATTTTTTATCTATACCCATTTTAAAATTTGAAATTTCAAAATTAAAGTTGAACATGGACTTTCAAGTCATCATGAAGTTTTTGACACCAGAACTATATTTTCTGACAAAATTTAGAGGTATGTCTTACTTTAAAAGTATAAGGTGCACATCTTATATAGAACTCAACCAATACAAACTTGATTCGATGTTACAAACATCAAAGGCAAAATTAAAAAGAATAAAAAACCACAAGAAAGTAGGACCTCCGCATAAATTTGGACAAAAAAAATATGGACCATTCCATAATATTAGATTTCATCGTTTTTAACTACAAGAAAAAACCCATTCCATAATGTTGGAAACATTTATTGGTACATACATAAAATTTCCTAAAAAATTTGTAAAGTAGTTTGACCATTTTAGCTTTATTTTTTCAAGAATGAGATTTGTATTAGTTTGCCTCCAGTAGAAGCAAGCGCACCTCTAAAACTTGTTTAGAGATGTTGTTCTGAGGTCTGAATTCTTATTATGGCTCAAAATTCTATTTTCGTTTAAGTTGTAAAATTTTGGAAAATTTAAAAATAGTAAAGATTGAGCAAATCCAAAAAACTTGAAATTTTTTAAAATGGACTGTCTAAACAATCTACAAAACACACTATATTTTGTGGACTTGGATTTCCTTCACGAAATACACTATATTTTGTGGACTTGGATTTCCTTTTCTTCTACTTATATATACATTTCGATTTCAAGATGATCATTGGAGAGCTCTTGACACTCTCTTCTACAGGATTTTTTAAGTGCACCTTACTTCAATAATAGAACAATAGTATAAGGTTACAACCTTATCTAAATTTTTTCCTTTTTTTTTTCTAGAGAAAGTGCTCGAAGTCATTTCCTATGGGACTTTGTTTCAAACCAAATGTTGATTACTTTTGATTTTTAAATCAACAGATTTATGGAGAGTCCAGCCTCACTAAGCTCAAGAAAATTATTTTCTTCTGTCTTTGAAGTTTTCCCATTGGATTCTTATTCCATCAGGGAAAATGTACGCACGAATATACCCTTAAAGCCCCTAAAATGTGGTTTTAGGGGGACGGTGGACCACAGCAGCACTCCACAATGGGGCAGATGAAATGTTTCCCCATATTACATGTGTGGTCATAGTTTTAAAATAGAGTAATGATACTATGGGGTTCTTATTTTCCTTCAAGTAGATTATCCTTTCTTTTTAATTTCTCTCTGTTTTTGTCGGTGGTTGGATAAGGGGATTTATGTACATGTCATTTACTTGCAATTTGTAAGGACTACTCTAACATCAACCGTCCAACTCATTGAATGGTTGGTGATAACGCGGTGACTATACTGTTCCATGCGCATGCGTTGTAATATACAGCCCTTGCACAAAATTCATGCAGTATACGTATAATGTCTCTCTTTCATTGAGACCAATTTATTAGGAGGTGAAGGGCAATTCTTTTGGACACTGTGGTAGTATTCACCGACTCATATTTTACTAGTGTTTCTTGTGTTGGATCGGCGAACTAGATCGGGCATGAATCGGTCCAAATCTGTAATCCTAAAAAACATTAAAAAATAAAACAAATAAAAATTAAAATGGGTTTATGGGGTCGGGATTTAGAAAAAACCCAAAAACATATTAAGTAATATTTTAAATAAATAATATATATATATAAGGAGGGATTTACGGCTAACCCAACCGAGAATCATACCATCTAAGAAGTGGCTTGATCCGAACCGATTCCTATCAGGATAATCGATGATCCAGATTAGAAATCTCGGATTTTAAAACACTATATTTTACAAATCCATTCGTATAAAAGGTTATAATCTCAAGAGGGAGTAAAATTTAAGAAAAATATCTCTATACCTTTACTTTCAAGTTTCATTTCATAATAGATCCAATGTTTTAAAAGATATTTTGGGACATAAAACTTGTAGATTTTATTTTTTATAACCACCTAAGTTAATTTAAACTTGTTTTTTTAAGCTAAACAAATCTAAAAGATATGTCTTTTCAAAAAGCCATCCCAAACTTTTAGAGAGAGAAGGCATCTTGGAGGTGAGAGGTTATCGAGAGGAGAGAGATGTGTTTGAAAAAATATGAGAGGAGAGAGAGATGCGGGAAAAGAGAGAAAGAGAGAAGTTTGGATAGACAAGTGAAGAGAGATAAAGATTAGGTTTAAAAAGAGCATGTCTTTCTCATATTGTTTAAATTAAAAAACAGGTTTAAAGTGGTTAGAGAGTTAGAAGATATTTTTTGAAATATTGAATTTATCAAAAAATAAAATCTAAAAATAAGAGACATGGAGCTATTTTCCCTAAAATTTACCCTTATTGCCACCGGTAAAAAACCCACTTGTTTTGTTGGGCCTCAAAATTTGCAAATCACTTTTCATCCTAGCAATGAGTTTAAAAAGGGATTTAGAATTGTACATAGAAGATGGTCCAAGCGATGCCTACTCCAATCAGGGATCGGACTCGCCACAAAATTAACAGCTTTAAAATATGAAATGTATTGGAAATTATTTACAACGCGGTTAGCATGGCCAAGCCCTCGCATCTACAAATATGGGCTTGGCAACAAATATATTTTTAAATATAATTTAATCTTAATTTTTAGAAAATATATAATCTGTAACATGAAGATCATGAATATAAAAAATAAAAAAATTTAAAAAATTAAAAATAATAATTATATTAAAAAACTATTTAAACCATTAATTACCATTGTTTTTAGATTGACCACTTAAAGATGGATGCTTTATACATTTGGATCGCATATTGTACACATGCAATCCAACCCGTATGAAACAATTGTTGACTTATTTAATTAATTATACTAATTGAAAAGATAAATATTCAACTAATGAAAAATAATAAAAAATTTAAATCTTAACATATTTTTTACCAAATTTAATTTTTATTTTTGAAAAGATTCACTAAAAAACATGCCGGCCTTGACGTCAGCCCATACCAAATAACTAAAAAAATCTTTTGAACCTAAAATATTGTCATAATAGCCTAAACTGGGAAGTAAATATAATTCGTAAAAGCCCCATTTTGAGATACGTTTCCATGAAAAAAAAATTAAAAAAATTGTTGGAAATGTTCCCAACAAAACGTAGGTGCAACTGCAAAAAGAATTGGAAGAAGGCGAATAAACAAAGAGAAGCCTTCCCTCCCTCTTTTCTTTCAACTCTTTGGAAATTCATCCACAAGATTCCAGCATTTATTCCCCATCACGTACTCTCAGTCACTTGCAGTCCACGTTACCCCTCTCTCTCTTACACACAACTAACTCTAGAGAGAGAAACTCTAGAGAGAGAGAGGGGCTACCTTAGGGTCATACTTACCTGGTGACAACTCTGTAGAGAGAGAGAGAGTGGTCATCACGGATGCAACTCTGTAGAGAGAGAGGGGGACGCTCAGGTTTTTAGTGAGAGAGAGGGCTTTTGGCCTTCGGTTCATTGGGTTAGAGAGAGAGAGAGAGCATAGGCTTTTTGGGTTTCCTTTTTAGGGTTTCAGAGTGGGTTATTAGTTCTTAGCTCATATGGGGAACTTTTAGATTTGTGTGTTGCAGAAGCTTAGTTAAGTTCCCATTGTCTCCTGCCTGCTGACATATTCAAATTGAAAAAATAAAACCTCACATATACCCTAAGCTAGAATCTAGGGAGAGGAAATGCAGTAAAATATGACCCATATTTAGGTCTTTTTAAAGTGATCTTCAATCTAAATTCCCATTAAATGGTTGTGGAAACTCCTGTTATCATAGAAAACAGCAGTGTGGTTTTCAAAGTTGCCATTTTCATGTTTAGTTAATAAAATATGGTCCGAGTGGGTGTTTTTCTTCTCTCATGATTTCTATAAAGTTTAAATGCTAGACACATTTCAGGTATCATTTGTCTGTTGGAATTTTTTGGTTTTTCTTTATGTAAAATGGATAGATTTCCTTTAATGGTGATTGGTGAGTTGTGAGTGGTTATTCAGATAGATTAGGTCACAATCTGAGAAGTGCAGAAAGGTTTTTGGCTCTTCAAATCAGAGAGCTCAAAAGGTTCAACCTTAGAGATAGAGAGAGACAAAGGACTGCAAGGGTAGCGAGAGAAAGAGACATGAGACAGTGAAAGGGTAGACTGTTTTGAATTGACCCATTTCTGCAAATTGATTCTTGGGTTCTGAGATTGAAAGGGAAGCAAAGATTTTGGGGGCCTGGGGTTTCGTTTTTGCCTTGTCATTGAAGCAAAACAAAATTGCAGAGAGAGATAGAGAGAGTACTCAGTAAACGGATTTTGAATCATATGGGGATTTCTTTTCTCAAGTGAGTTGTCAAAAGAGAAAGGATTGAGGGAGATGGTGACCAGATGATCACTTCTCTCTCAAGAAAGAGATATCAAAGCAAACAGACAAAGAAGAGAAGCATTTAGAAGTAGAGAATCCATGTCACTGTAGCACTAATCATGCATTGAAAAGCCATTGCTCTTTTATCAGCCTTGCTCATTCATTCCCTGTCATCTTCATCATTATCACATCTCTCTCTCTAGATTGTTCCCTTTCATCATCTCTCTCTCTCTCTAAAAGTTTTGATCATCATCATCATCATGGTGGCTTGCAAACAGTTGAAAGGTTGGCGGTTTCCCATCATCACCACCATGATCAGCCTGCACATTCTGTGTTTGGTTTCTGCAACCAGCAGGCCTTTACCCCACGGTGAGAAGGATTGAAATATTTAATCGTTAGAGAGAGAGAATTGAATTATTAGAGAGAGAGGGAGATTATAATCGGGACCACATCCAATATATTTCATTAGTTCCCTATTTGTGCTTCATTTTTATTGTCTTTACATGGATAGTGGGACTCTGTAATTTTTTAATTTTTAATATGCAGATCACAGATCACAGAGCACGCATGATAGATGGGTGTCCGCACAGGTAGCTACTGAAAACGGTCTTCTTTGTACTGTAAATTCTGTTTTCTTCGAAAGTTGGGGTTTAAAAATTTGAACTTTTATTGAACAGTGGATATGTAGATCTGTTATCTTTATTTACGAGAACAAGAATCCAAATAATTCTCTCTGTCTCTCTCATGGTTTTGAGAACCCTACTGGTCTTAAGAGCCCCTTTATCATTCTCTCTGTGCCGCTCACTCTCTTGACTCGTACTTTTCGAGTTTTGAGAGCTCCAAACTTCTATTTCCTCCTATTTCTTTGAAGTTTAAACTTGTGTGTTTTGCTTTGTTTATGAGTTTTAAGAGCCTCTTTTCTTGCTAGTTGTTATTTCCAAATGGATTACCGTCTCTCTCTTGGACTCTGCCGGCCCTGGCCTTAGCCCGTCCCTATCGAAATCCGCCGGGCCAAATAAAATAAAAATTAAAGAAGAACAAGGCTGTGCCGGTTCTGGCCTGATCCTACCCTCGGGTCGTGGTTGCCGGGCCTTCAGGCAAGTCCAGGCCTTAGTTTTTTGGGACCGGGCTGACACCCAACCCTTGTGACCCTATCTCTCTGGTGTGTTCCATCTTTTGTGCATGGAAGTGAAAGGGTGTGTGAAAAATGCAGGAGGATGATGATAAGAATGAATCAATGAAGAATAAGAAGGTGTTTTGGGATACAAGACTTGGTTCAAGGCCACCAAGGTGCGATAACAAGTGTGGGGGATGCAGGCCATGTGAAGCCATTCAGGTTCCCACCACTACTGATCATCTCCACCTTCACTATGCCAACTATGAGCCCGAAGGCTGGAAATGCAAATGTGGAGCCTCTTTCTACAACCCTTAAAACTAATTATATTTACATTTTAATCATAACTATCCATCATTCATATCGTATCTCTATATGATATTGTACAACTTTTCGACTTGAGATCCGATCAAGATCAAGCATCAAAAATCTCAAGCCCATGGATGTATAAATTTTTCGCTCTTTCTTGGGGTGAATCTGTCTCTCTCTCTCTCTCTCTCTGTTATCATAGTTATTATGGTTTTCTATGTTCTAATGAGTATATTTTTGGCAATTACATGCCATGTATCAATCAGGTTGGAAATTTTGTGTTAAGACCGTATTGTACAATGACTGTTTGTATATATCCGATTTTCCTAAGAAAAAGATCACCTGTTACATTTGGTAAAAATCAATTAATTTTGATAGCAGTATAAATATTTAATTAAATAAGTAAAGGTGAGGTTTGTATAAGGTTGGTGCCTAGAACAATCAGAGTACAGCACACCCTCAATTGATGCAGGTTCAGATGATGGCCATCAAATTTATTTTCATGCATGAATATGTAATTTAAACGTTAAAAAATATTGTAGGTTTATGAATACTTTAAAATATTGGAAATAGACTGTCCATATGATATATTGGAAGAGACTATTAAACGTTTACGGGGCGAAAATAAACAGTATTTTTATCCATAAGCTTGGTGCCGGCTGATTTTTTTTCGGACGGCGTGGAAAAAAGATTGTCATGGACATCTCATGTCCATGGCGGTTGTTACGAATATAGTATGTCCGTGATGGGTATTTTTTTCATGCAAAATTGACGTAAAAATATATACGAGAACCGTCACAGTTCTCGTAGGTATGGGGTGATTTTTAAGCAAAACCATGATGGACATAGCATGTACGATGGGGGCAAAACATGGTAACAATTTGCTTGTAGGTATTTTTAATACTTTTCCTAATATATTATAAGATAAATTGCTTTTAAAACTTGAAATCTTTTTTTTTTTTGTGTTTTTTCATCCTACTTCAGGTTGAGATGATCAATTGAAAGGTTTTCAAGAGCACGAACTCTTTTTTTTAATTGAGTGCCTTGTTTCTATGGAATAAAGTTTAGGCTCTGTCTAGGCTTTTTTTATTAAGTAAAAAAAGAAAAGTAAATATAGAGTCAAAGCTCTAAACAATCAAATTGGAGCCTACTTCAAAAAAAAAATTTATTACATAAAAAAGGAAAAAGTAAATATAGAGTCAAAGCTCTTAACAATCAATTGGAGCTTACTTCAAAAATTTCACTAGAAGAGGTTGTTTTGATGCTCAAATATCTTTAAATAGATCATTTCGCTATCAAGATCGATATGAGAAAAAAATAAATTTCAAGTTTTGAAAATAGTGTATTTTGTAATACATTTTTAGACCGTCAATTTTCAAAATTTTCAAGTTTTCATGATCTGTCAGTCTACACTGTTTTTTAAACTTTAAATTTTATATACAAAGATGAAAATATATTCCAAGGCTATTTTTAATAGTGAAGGTAAACTCTAATTTGATTGTTTAGAACCTAAGCTCTATACAAACCGCACCCAAAAAAAACATGCTCAATGTTTCTTGATACAAATTTTGTCGTTATGACAGGCTTCTCAGTTGAATAGTACAGCGCGAGATGTGTAGAGTAAAAGCTCACGTGAAGGTCAAATTGCATGGGTTTTTGTAATGGAAAAAGTTCATACAAAGTTGCAATTTTATAATTTAAAAGAAAAAAAAAGAAGGACAAAACAAAAACAAAAACCGTCTCAAAGTCCATGAAAAATGTTGAGATGTCCGGATGTGTGGAAAAAAAAATACTTTGAATTTAAAAAATGATATATTTTGTAATACATTATCTAGACCACTGGTTTAAAAAACGGATCGGTAACTTGGATCGGGCTCCCAAAAAATCGATCCGGATCGGGAATCGGGTGAATCGGTCAGAATAAAGCTTTAAAAAAATCCAAAAAAATTATTAAAATTCATTATAAATATTGTTTTTTAGGAATTCAATAAGAAATTAGCGTACTCCATTAAGAATTTTCATGTTTTTGAATGAATATGAGAATATTGATATGTTCTTTCCCTGTATGAACCGCCATTCAACATTTAATTTACATCACACAAAAAGATAAACATAGAATTATCATGAAATAAGTATATCAACATACATTGACTATAATAAAGCATAAAATTAGTAACATATGATCTAAAAATAAAATGATAGACGACGTTATTGTTCTTCTTGGTCACGCTGGTGCCATTGATTGAATTCGTTTAACAATTCATTGATTCGATCTAAAAACGAATCATCGATATTAGCAGACGTCTGACTATTCCCAAATCCCTGAGTGTTAGTGTTTTGTTGTGTTCCCAATCTAAAATCCCCGAAGATTGTCCATCCTTCATGCTCACCTGCACTGTCGTGCTCATCCCTACACTGTTGCTGTTGGGACTCGATTGAATAATATGGTTGGGATAGGGTGGCCTCAGAATCATCATCTCTCTCATTTTTTCTCTTTGAATAATATGGATTAAAAAAAAAAATTAACAAATTTTCAAAAAACTCGATCATGGATTAAAAAAAAAAAATCACAAATTTTCAAAATATTCTATCATGGATTACAAAAAAAATTCGATCATGGATTAAAAAAAAAAATCACAAATTTTGAAAAAATTCTATGATGGATTACAAAAAAAATTCGATCATGGATTAAAAAAAAAAATCACAAATTTTCAAAAATTTCAATCATGGATTACAAAAAATTCGATCATTGATTACATAAAGTTCGATCATGGATTATATAAAATTCGATCATGGATTACAAAAAAAAAC